GAGTACTCATCCAGTGGAGGAAGTGTTTCAACCGATTGACTGGCATCAATAACCGCGGACGCAAATTTTTGCCAGTCAATGTTTTTCGTAAGATCGTACGCGATGTCAACCGAGCGAGTAGAAGATGAACCATTGGTAATATAAATTTTGATTGGCAAGTGGTCACTACCGTAGGGATCTTGGATTACTTTCCACGAGCAATCCAACGATAGTGAACTCGAACAGAGGGAGAGGTCTAATCTACTTTCTCTTGCTGGAGGTTTGGCTACTCGTGTTACTTCCCCAGTGTTTAGAATTGTCATATTGAAGCTATCGCAAAGGTCGTATATCAACGTTGAGCGGTTGTCATCGTACAGTTCCCCCCAGCCTGTACCGTGGGAGTTAAAATCTCCTAATATCAACCGAGGCTCAGGTAAAACTGAGCAGATATCTGAGAAACCTTGGCGAGAAATCGCAGTTCTCGGAGGAAGATATACTGAGACAATACTGAGACTTTTACCTCGAACATTTACCTGACATGCAACTACTTCAATGCCTGTCACGGAAGGCAGATCGATTCTATAAAAGGAATGGAGTTTGTTGATCCCGAGAAGCACCCCTCCATACGAATCTGCTCGATCAAGGCGAATAATGTTAAAATCGTGGAAAGGAAGATTTGTGTCTGAAGAGAGCCATGTTTCACAAAGAGCAAATGCATCACAAAGTGAGGAGTGAACTAAAAATTTGAATGCGTCAAGTTTCGGTATAAGACTTCTACAGTTCCACTGCAGGACTGAGATCATATCCCCGCCTCATTTGGAGAATTATCCATCAAAGGATATGATCGATGCAAGGAAGGACCACTTGGAAGCTAGTTGCTTCAAAAGAGTTTTCACAATTGGAAGCACTAAATTAATAATGTTCCTCGTTGAGTCAGAGACATTGAATATATTGAAGATGCTCTCCACAATTCCAGAAAACGTGAACATGGGAGCATGTTCTTGCTGATTTTTCAGCTGTTCTTCTGGCTGAAAACATGGGATATCTGGGATTTTAGATGATCCCGGAAGTGGTGGAAAGTCCTTGTTAAAATTACAAGGTTTAAATCCCGGTGGTGGGGGTTTTGGTACATTTCCGCTACCTCTTAAATTTGTCAAGGTTGGTTGAGAGTCCAAACGAGAGGCCTTACGAGGTTTTTGGATGACGTTTGTTTTGCATCGCTTCCTCGGGTTGCCGTTAAAGACAAAGGGACGATCCTCACCAACCTCTGAATCAGAGCCCTGATCATCATCTGGCAGGAGGTGGAATGTGTTGTTGCATTTTTGGGTAGTTTGGGAAGATGAAGCGGTCATTTTCAAAATTTCTGCTAGTGAACGCTTAGAGCGAGCTTCCAATGACCGCTTAAGTTTTTCTCCCTGCTATTTGTACTTCGGGCAATCACTCAGAGCATGCGGAGTATCCTTGCAGTAAACACATTTTGGGGCAGCACCACAAGGACCTTCCGTATGCACCTCCCCACATTGATCGCAGCGCGGTTTGTTTGAGCAATAGTCTGCGGTGTGACCTAGTTTCTTGCATTTTAAGCAATTCATTACCCTCGGTACAAACAAGCGTACAGGTAGTCGAACCTTCCCAATTGTGACGTAGTCAGGTAATGCCGATCCTGAAAAGGTCACACGAAACGAGTCTGATAAGGTATACCTTTTTTTCGTGCCTATGAGCGACACTGACTGCAGTTGAATGCAGTCCAGTATCTTGACTCTTGGGAGGCAACGATTTTTGAAGATGCCGAAGGATTCAGCGTGCAAGAAATCTTCGCAAGTTAGACTCGCTTCGGTGACCACTCCTTCAATTTCTACATCACAACTGGGGACGTAGACTCGATATTCTATCGAAAAACGCTCGCATGCAACGATCTGGTTGGCCTGCTTCCGGTCGTCAACGGTAACTCGCAGTTTGTTTGGCGTCACCTTAAAAATGTCGGTAACGGCCGAGAAATGTGTTGTCAGATCTTTTGAAATCCGAGTAATATTCAAAGGTTTTTGTTTGGGCCGGAAAAATACAACCCACGGACCTTTCGAGTCATCAGGGTATGCCTTGTGGCGGGGGGTCGCAGAAGTTTTTGGGGGAACGGGTGGAGTAGGGGGAACAGGTAGACGAGGTGGCAATGGTGGAGAAGGGGGAGTAGGAGGAGAAGGAGGCAGTGGTTTGACACTCCCTTTAGGGTAGGCTCCAGTGTTTTTGTTGGTGAGCAAATCAAGTGATTCTTCAAGGATATCCATTTCCTCAGAAGAATCGAGCTTTTCAAATGAAGGAGACTTAATTGACTCATCATCTGAGATGTCAAACGACAATCCCCCGCCTTTATTTTTGTCATCCATTGCGGTGCCTTAAGGTATCACCGCAATGGAATGTATAGAAAACTTTGATGTTAATAATTCAAATATTTTCCTTGCCACAAATTTGAAATCAATCAATAATTAAAAATGAAAAAAAAAAAAGAAGTATATGGGATATAATCTACCGCACTCTAGGTAAATTGCTCAGCAAAAAAAAATAATAACAAAAACAAAAAAAAAACAAATAAAAACAAGGGAAACTAATGTATATAAATTAAATAATAAGCAAGAAAGGGTAAGCAACGCTGTAGGGGAATTAATCAGATCTTAAAAATCGGAAAACAAACCAAACAGAGAAAAAAAAAAAACTTCTGATGAAAAAAAAAAATTACTTATCTCTCTATACCGAGATGGCGCGTCTTCCCAACGGAGAAGAAATCCACTATGCGATGAAGCAGTGGGTATTCTATAGATGCAGGCAAAAACACGTGCTGGCTAACAAAAGGCCCGCTTGGATAGCCCGAATCTGTTTTTGTGTTGTAGGTACGGCTGATGACCTTGCTGTTGAACGATGCAAATGTGATGGTGCGATCGGATGATGGGATGACTCGGTTGATGGCGTTAAAGTTGGACGGGCGAACCTCCGGTCTCGCCGAGGCTGTTGCTTCCAGAGTAGAGCGTCTTGGTCCGCTAGTGGCACTTTTTGCTTTAGTCACACCAGCAGGGGAGTGGATCAAAAAAACCCCGTTCGGGGAAAAAATCCAATGTACAGAGCGCAGAAAAAAAAAACTTGTGACGGTGGAGAGTAGCACAAAGTGAACTTGATCAGCCGAACGTTCGACAAGGAAAAAAAAAAAAAAAAAAAGATTCATAAGACTTGCTCTCAGGAATCTACCATGGCGTGATCCGTCTAACCTTCCAGCGTATCCCGCTAGATGTCGTCTGCTTGGTCTTGAAACGCTTGATCGAAGACGAAAATTACAACAAGCTACGTTTATCGTTAAATTACTCAACGGTGACGTCGTTGCTCCTATCTTCTATCGCTCCTTGACTTCCGTGCTTCAGGTAGGATATTACGTCAGCGGTCCCTGATGCAGCCGGGATTTCATCGTACTCTGTATGGTTATAACCAGCTTATATCTGCAATGGTTCGTTTTTTTTGCATCGGTTGAATCCACGTTCAAGTTTGGTATGTCAACGCCTCAATTTGTAAATAAAGTAAGAAGATTGAACATAATTCAGATATTCATTAATACTATTTGTCAGATGATTTACTTAACAATAAATAAATAAATAAATAAACAGAGGAAGCAGACGACTCTTCTGTAGACACTCCTTGAGGTAGATCTCCCCGTTTTCAGTCCCGGTAGTCACGAACGGCGTACTCCGTTTGCCACATGAGCAGATCGCTTGCCAAATCATGTATTTCTTGGCAAACTTTGAAAGTTTCTGCTTCCTTACTTCCTCCGGAACATCAAACATGTGCTGGGCGGCGAAGAACAGTAGCCCTGGAAGCTGCCGGAAGTCCGCCTTGACGTAAGTCTCATCATCCATGATGAGACAATGAGGCTTCGTCAGCATTTGGGTGAACGGTTTCCGGGCCCGTGACTTTCCCACCGTATTTTACCATTCGTCACGATTTGCAGCCTTCTGTACTTTGTACGTATGCATTTCCTCCCAGTCGTTGGCTCTCTGAACGAAAGACTTGGACATATTCAACTTTTTGGCCACATCTCTGACCGAAGCATTGGGATTCCGCTTAAACGCTGATCCTGATCACTAATAGAACATCCATTCTGATCGCATTTCTCTACAGCGTTTTTTTCCGTGATGCAATTTGATGTGGGGCACCCTTTAGCAAATTAAGTATTTACAAAGTATAAAAGTTTAGGAATTTGTTTGATATGTAAACATCGGGATTTGTTTTTTAAAAGGGCATTCGGCTAGTTTTCTTCTTGATAATTTACCTCTTTATAATGAGAGAGAGAAGGATTAGTAATTTCCATTTAATTCCACTACCTTATTTGCTTATCCTTGACAGATACGCGTATTTCGTCTACAATGTGCAGACTTCTTCAGTGTCTTGTACTAATACTCGACTATTAGTACAAGACACTGAAGAAGTCTGCACATTGTAGACGAAATACGCGTATCTGTCAACGATAAGCAAATAACGTAGTGGAATTAAATGGAAATTACTAATCCTTCTCTCTCTCATTATACAGGTATTCCACTAAGACGCCCACATTCACCAGGATTTACCTCTTGGTCATCCATATCAACTTTAGATATCAATAGTAAAGATTCTACCTGGGAAAGCCGGCCCCCTTCTCATTGGTGGTGCCACAGCTCTTGGTAGAAGCTAGCCGTTTGATGCCCGGTTTTCCAGATCTTCTTCTCGAGTTCCAGCAGCGCAACGACTTCAAAAATGTGGGATTGAAGCTCGTCGTTAATAAACCAATCATAAGACAGAAAATCAAAAGACAGAAAATCAAAAGGCTTGCACTTCTGTGTACCGAGATTCAAATCATAGTAGACCAGAAGATGACAGTCTCGGGAGACTGGTTAGGTTTGGTTAGTTTTTAATCATGGGCTACCTCGGGAAACTGTACAATCCCCAGTCGATAAATTTATTGAATTATTAATTATCCAGCTTACTTACGAAAAAATATACTTTCACAGGCAATCGTCACCGGAATGCGACCAACGACCGCTCCCGCATATGGGACAAACTGTTATACTGGATATTGCGAGTTTGTCCGGTGCGTTCGCCGAGAAAACGCCAACTCGCTAATCAATCAATGCATCCTACAAACGCTTGCCAACAAGGATCTCAACGTTGAGTCCCAACGCGTTGGCTTCTACGTTAATGCAACGTCGTGTATTCTTGCGCGAACCCGATGTGATACATACAACCCAATCACCGGCGAACTTCAAACCCCTTACGGGACTAACACTCCACTGGGTATAAGAAACGTGGACATCCTGTCGAATGCTCTTCAAATATCACCTATTGGCGACATCCGAGTGGTTACTTTCCCAACAAAGATTATTTCAGCGGACCTGTTCTGTTCAAGTCGAACCTTTCTCGATCAATCAACATTTGGAGATTCAACGTGTTAGAATAAGAGTATCTCGAAGACTGCGGGCTATGTCATCGTTATTTAAGCAAGATTCCAGTGTGTCAGTTTTTATTCAAGATTATTTTATTCACATTCCTTTTTACAATTTCCCTTTTTTTTCGGTAAAATCTGTCAATTTCATAAGATTCACTGTTTGCTTAAGGAAAAATCCCAAAAATTGCCTACATTTCATATACATGTCCTACGAATTTTTCTTCCACATTAAAGGTAGCAGCCATTACGGCTACCATACAAGAAAAATAGCGACATAAACTCAAAGAGGGAAAGGAAGGATAATGTAACATAATAGAGCTAAATGGTTGTATTGCCCTCCAGCGATTGCTTGTATTGCTTTGCTTAAACCCTTCACAAATAATAAGAAAAAACTAGATTACATATGCGTTGGATTTTTCCTCCAGGTGGCGGTTCTCCCCATTGCTGTTCGTTTTTTTTACAATGAGTTGGAATGTATACTTTTCCAAATTGAAAGGACCACTTAGATGACAGAATCCTCATTATATTTAAGTGTTACTTTTGTTATTAAGTCTATGGTTTCTTTTTTGCAAATAGCTTTACATTGTTCTTCTTCCCTAAAAACAGGTTTTTTCGCCTACGTTTTTCTTCTTTAAAGTTAGCATATAAAAAGTTCTAAGAAAAAACTATCCTCGATATAAAGAGAAAGAAAAAAATGTTTCATCACAGTTCAATAATTGTTGTTTTTTTTTCTTCGCATGGAAACTATTGATTGCTGATTGGTGGGGTTATGTACTTCTTTATCACCACAGATTCTCCATTTTGTTTTTTTGTTTTTTTTTCGTTTTTATTAGCAGTCAAAAAGGAGAAGTGGTACAAATTCGGGGTTATTGTATATTGCATTTTGTTTGTGTTTTGACTTGGACTAACTGAAAGTTGAAAAACAATAACTAACGAAAAAAAAATTGAGCAAATTAGATTCAGTTGAATGTAATGTTTACATAGACAACAGGAGGCGGGTTACATTTCACCACTCCACAGGGGTGCGCTTAACTAGATAAGAAGCCTTATACACAACAGATTAAGGTGAAAGAAGGATTTGTTTAGGAGATGGTTGTCTTTTTCAAGTGCAAAGCTACAACAGATAGGTGAGTAGAATGCTTGAAAGGGAGTGAGGCAACCACAAGCTGTCAATTTGAAAGTTCAATTTGACAGAACGGTGGTAAGAGTTACGGTATTCATCCGCTTTGTCAGCGTTTAATTTAGGTTGCACTTCTAGCCAGCGCCATTTTGTTCCTATAGTAAAGGGACCGAACCATACGAAAGATTTTTATTTTACTTTTGGAAAATGGTAATAGTCAGTGGTGCCGGGGTGTACACAAAAGTGTTGATTTTGGTCTTTTGGTGAAAACAATCCCGCATACATTGTCAACAATGGACTAGATTCCAAAAGTGATGTTTAGCATAATTCGGTCCGGGACGGTTTGCAGGGACGTAATTTGTATATCTTCACCGCTTAAAATACACAAACCGATACATTAAATTATGAAAAACGTACACAGAGTGGATGATTGTATGCGTTTGTGCATGCGCTCTCATATAAATTAATGATATCTAAGTATAAAAACCTACCGGATAAGCCCTAGCCTCGCTTAAACTTAAGTACGAGCAGTGTTATCACCAAGAAGATAGCAATCCATGAAATAGTGGCTATAAAGCCCAAATACACATCCTCATCCAATATGCTCCAGCCACGGGTTAAGATAGATCGCAGGGACGATGTGGCCAGTGTTAGCGGTAGACACAGAGACACGTACCGTAATACCACTGGCATGCCTTCAATTGGCCAAATGACACCGGACAGCAACAGTGTTGGGTAGAATGAACCTAACGCCAACTGAATGGCATTTCGTTCTAGTTCGCAGATGGCTGAAATCACGAACCCGAAGCACATTCCACACAAACCCTGAAGAATGGTGAGCATGACGATCCATATGATTTCTCCATTGTTCGTTACTCCAAAGACCACAATCATAAAGAGCAGTACCAGCGCCGTTTGACCACACATCACTACAAACTGTGTCACTACGTGAGAAAACAGGATTTCGAAAGGAGTAACACCAGCAACCCACGATCGATCCAGCAGACCCTCAGTTCTCTCGATAATCAGCGCAGATGATGTCAGTGCAACGGCCAAGAAGAAAACGATTCTAAAATGGAACATCATGAAGTCACTCTTTTATGGTCATAGAAATGGACTACTCACGTCAGGATCACACCAGGCGCAACGAAATCCGTAAAGGAAGGATCATTGGTTCCGTAAATGGGGTCCTTAAACTGAATCGGAACATCTCCTAGTTTGGGATTATTGTCACAAACGCGTAGCAGCTCCTGTGCAAACTCCCGATAGGCTACCTGTAGATCCCGATTCAACATTATACCGATCTGTTGGTTAGACATGTCAAGCCACACTCGGATTTCCGATTGATCTAGAGTTTCGTCGTCAGCGTCCCGACCTTGAATCAATACATAAAAACACGTTATAAATGTATCCTGAACCTGCAACTGCACAGTCCCTTCTTACCCAATGCAATTCTCGCCACCAGCGCATCGGTAAAGTTGTCGGTAAAATAGAGCGCACCCCAAGCATGGCCATCCCGTACCGCTCCCAGTGCCAGGTCCAAATCCGGATAGTAATTTTTCACTATCGTTGAATTAAGATGGCTCAGATAACGACACGAAAGGTTGGTAAAACTGCAACCGGCATCGAAAATACAGTCTCCGTTGGTCATATTCATTTCCTGGTTAACGATAGCCACTCGCAGATTTGTCGGATCACGCCCAATTGCCAAGCAGAACAGGATGACCTGCATCACCGGCAGTGCAAAGATAAACAACATCACGCCGACGTTTCGCCACATCTTAAGGAAGTTTTTGATCAGTAGTGCTTTGAGTTTGCCTTTCGATGTGATCTATGGTGGGGAGAGAAAAAACAATGAGAATCGGTTATGGACGCATTTTTCCAATCTTAAGACTGTAAGCCAGGATCCAAGATAACTTTATCAAATTTCAATTGAAAAACAACTTCAAATCGATTATCCTGCGAATTTATCATTTTTACGGTTCTGGGGGTAAATCGAAAATCTAAAATTGCGACCGTCACGAAAAGGTGTAAGGTTATGAACGCTTATAACTTTGTCATTTATAGATGAAATTAAAATCCAAATACACCGATCGATAGGAAATAAGTCTCGCAATCTGCTGCAAAAGATGCTTTTCCAAATTTCTAAAAAAATCTTTGAAAAATTTACAACTAAAAAGTGATAATTTTATTACTGTTTAAATGAAATAAACGTTCTCCCAAAAAAATATTTTGATGCACTTCAATCGTGTCAAAAATATGGTGTAATATTACCAGCCAAAAAGGACTAAATTATCATTAATACAATGCATGAACTGACATTACGCTGCTTTTACTGCATTTGTTTATTTGTGTGGCTATAAAAATTACATGAGATTTTCAAAATAATTGAAGTGCATCCTCTAGGATGTAATATTAAAATCTATTTTTTGCTGTGAAGTACAAGAAATAGTTTAACTGATGGCGGTGGTGGCTAGCTCTGGGTGGGACCCAGACAACCCCCCTTTGGATAGTGGAACCGTTCCTAGATGGATGAACAACGGAAATTTTAGTCAGTTGAATGTTCTCCTACTCGAAGCAAATGACGGAAAGAAACTCAACCCGATCCTGGTTGGAAAATGTCTGCAAGCACACGTTGGCAAAATCGAAGGAGCTACTACTGAGGATGACTGCAATAAGTTCGTGCTACGCGTACGAAATGCGGATCAAGTGAGGTAACTTCTTGCAATGAAACAACTGGATAATGGTGTGGCAGTGTCAGTGATTCTTCATCCTACTCTCAACAAACGTCGTTGTGTATTTTCTTGCCGTGAAGTACAGGAGCTTAGTGAAATGGAACTGGTTGATGAATTGAGACCTCAAGGAGTCGTAGGTGCTAAACGTTTTAATCCGGAAAATTCCGGAATACATCAAGGTTGGTCCGTCCATACATACATTTATTTGTACAACAGCACATTTAAGATAAGAAATAATCAACAATAGTACGCCACAATACTCGGTTTGCGGCTGCCACTCTCCATCCTCGGTCATGTCCAATGCTCGCTAGATCACGCTCTACCTGGTCCGCCCATCGTGTTCTCTGCGCTCCACGGCTTCTTGTACCAACCGGATCAGTAGCGAACACCAACTTTGCAGGGTTGTTGTCCGGCATTCTTGCAACATGCCCTGCCCACCGCATCCTTCCGGCTTTGGCCACCTTCTGGATGCTGGGGTCGCCGTAGAGTGCAGCGAGCTCGTGGTTCATTCTTCGGCGCCACTCACCGTTCTTCTGCACACCGCCGAAGATCGTCCTTAGCACACGTCGCTCGAAAACTCCGAGTGCTTGCAGGTCCTCCTCGAGCATAGTCCATGTCTCGTGTCCATAGAGGACCACCGGTCTTATTAGCGTTCTGTACATGGTACATTTTGTGCGGGGGTGAATCTTTTTTGACCGTAGTTTCTTCTGGAGCCCGTAGTAGGCACGACTTCCACTGATCATGCGCCTTCGTATTTCACGACTCACATTGTTGTCAGCCGTCATTAAGGATCCAAGGTAAACGAATTCCTCCACTACCTCGAAAGTATCCCCGTCTATCGTGACATTACTTCCTAGACGAATCCTGTCATGTTCGGTTCCGCCTACTTTGTTTTTGACGCACTCACCATCAGTCCGACCTTTGCTGCTTCGTGTTTCAGGCGGGTGTATAGTTCTGCCACCGTTCCAAATGTTCTTGCGATAATGTCCATGTCGTCCGCAAAGCACACAAATTGACCGGATTTCGTGAAAATCGTACCCCGGCTGTTGAGCCCGGCTCGTCGCATTACACCTTCTAGAGCAATGTTGAAGTGTAGGCATGAGAGTCCGTCACCTTGTCGCAGTCCCCGGCGAGATTCGAATGAACTGGATAGTCCACCCGAAACCCTTACGCAGTTTTGCACACCGTCCATCGTTGCTTTGATCAGTCTGATCAGCTTCCCAGGAAAGCCGTTCTCGTCCATGATTTTCCATAGCTCTGAGCGGTCGATACTGTCGTATGCCGCCTTAAAGTCCATGAACAAATAATGCGTTGGGACCTGGTATTCACGGCATTTCTGGAGGATTTGCCGTACGGTGAAGATCTGGTCCGTTGTCGATCGACCGTCAATGAAGCCGGCTTGATAACTTCCCACGAACTCGGTCATTTTAGGTGATAGACGACGGAAGATGATCTGGGATAGCACTTTGTAGGCGGCATTCAAAATGGTGATCGCTCTGAAGTTCTCACATTCCAAATGGTCGCCTTTCTTGTGAATGGGGCAGGTTACCCCCTCATTCCACTCCTGCGGTAGCTGTTCTGTTTCCCAGATCCTGACTATCATCCGGTGCAGGCAGGTGACCAACTTTTCTGGGCCCATCTTGATGAGTTCGGCTGCAATACCATCCGATACCAGCTGCTTTGTTGTTTTTGAGCTGCTGAATGGAGTCCTTAACTTCCCTCAGCGTGGGAGTTGGGTCAGTTCTGTCCTCTGCTGCACTGACGTAGTCGTTTCCTCCATTGCGCTGGTCTCCCGTGCCTACGTTCTCCTCGCCATTCAGGTGCGCATCGAAGTGCTGCTTCCACCTTTCAATCACCTCACGTCCGTCCGTCAAGTGGCTCCCGTCCTTATCCTTGCACATTTCGGCTCGTGGCACGAAGCCGTTGCGGGATGCGTTGAGCTTCTGGTAGAACTTCCGTGTTTCTTGGGAACGGCACAGCAGTTCCATTTCCTCGCACTCCGCTTCTTCCAGGCGGCGTTTTTTCTCCCGAAAGATGCGGGTCTGCTGTTTCCGCTTCTGTTTATACCGTTCCACGTTCTGTCGGGTTCCATGCTGCAGCATTAACGCCCGCGCTGCGTTCTTCTCCTCCAAAATTGCTCTGCACTCCTCGTCGAACCATTCATTCCGTCGACTTCTTTCCACGTACCCGATGGTGCTCTCGGCTGCGTCGCTGATGACTGCTTTTACTGTACTCCAGCAGTCCTCTGGAGGGGGGACATCAAGCTCGCCCTCCTCTGGCAACGCTGCCTTGAGATTCTGCGCGTATGCTAGGGCGACATCCGGTTGCTTCAGTCGCTCTAGGTTGTACCGTGGCGGGCGTCGATACCGTACATTGTTGATGACGGAAAGTTTTGGGCGCAGTTTGACCATCACCAGGTAGTGGTCAGAGTCGATGTTAGCGCCACGATAGGTCCTGACGTCGATAATGTCGGAGAAGTGCCGTCCATCAATCAGAACGTGGTCGATTTGCGATTCCGTCTGCTGTGGTGATCTCTAGGTGTAACGATAGGGGAGGTGGTGTTGGAAGAAGGTGCTACGTATGGCCATGTTCTTGGAGGCGGCGAAATCGATGAGTAGTAGGCCGTTCCCGTAGGTTGGTCCGTCCACTGAGGATCAAAACTCGTGTATATGTTCCTGAGCCAACGATTTCTTTTACGTGCTACCAGTACTGTCACACTAAGCTTCGGTGCAAGGCTGCTACCCGATGCCGGAACTGTTCCAAAGTGCACGATCTTGGTAAATGTACAGATAACCCATACTGCCTTAACTGTAAAAGTGAACACGGTCCGTCCAACAGGAAATGTCCAGTGAAGGAGATCTCTAAACTACGAGTTACAAAAGGAATCAACTATAATGAAGTTTGCAATCAATTCAACGCTGGATCTGGATCATATGCCGAAGTAAGTAAAATTCAACAGAGATTGAATGTCAACTAGAACAACGCGGTAGCAGGATTGCTGAAGGAAAAGGATGATCTCATCAAGCAGCTGATGGATACCATTGCCCAGCTGTCGAACAGAGTTGAAGAGCTGGAGCAAAAGAAAAATGAGAAGAAACGTACGAACAACTTAACCGGGAACAGACGAAGCCTACGGAAGACACGGCTAGGGAAACCGACTGCAGTCTACATACTGAAGACACAAACAAGGCAAGTGACACTTCTTCCAAGCCAAACATTCAATCTGTGCAAAGCTCTAAGATTGTCCACAAACGCCACTACACCACTGAAATAACCCCTCCCTCCATTAAGAAACGCCCAGAAAATAACTTTGATAAGTTGACAGCTTGCCAATCCCAATTAACTCTACCCTTGCTAGAACTCCCTTCAGACAACCCAACAATGCACAGTGGTGCAAAAGGTCAAATACATGAACTTTTTTCATTAGAACCTTTTACAGTGGTTTTTTCAATAGGGTATCTTGAGAAGAGTTTTTATAAATGACAAGACCCATTGAATGAAGTTAAGTTTTAGTTCGAAACTTCGCCGCGGGTCGCGCTACGAAATCTAGCTTTTTAATTTGACCAGATAGAGATATAAAGTCTTCAGCTAGGTTGTAGGTTGCTTCATTACTAAAAACTTTGTACGAGACGTTTTGTCTCTATCTGCTTGCGATTTTTAGTTATGAAGCGTTTTTATAGAAGGGCCTCAAAAATCCGTTTTTTGGAAATATTTCCGAAATTATTTGTCTTAGATGACTATAATGTTCTGCAACTTTTTAAAAATCAATCAAATATACAACTTTGCTGGAGACAAAAAGGTTCTATTTGCAAAACAGAAAATGTTATTGGCAATATCAGCTCAAAAATAGCCTAATTTCAAGCATCCATAAACTTCAAAGAGGCAATATGATGAAACTATAGTGAAAATACTATCATTTCATCTAGTAGTCATTTTTACCCCGTTGTATCCATGTGACCAAGGTTTTATTAACAGCATTCTAACCACTCACCATATTTTGTTTGTTTGTTTTTGACATGCCAAAGCAACCCATGATTGCCATTTTTTAACTGTCATTCGAGCGTTATGGTACGAAACGTTCGTAGCATTTGCGTTCATCAGAGTAAAAATTCGTTTGCAAATAACATTCTGAAAATTTTGACTGCACAGAAGGTAAGTCAAATATTGTTTACTTTTATGAATGGTATTGCGTTTTGTTTTCTGAATATTCAGCATTCATGTAATTTTTGTGTTTTTTTATGCTGGGGAATGGTTTTTAAGCAACTACCAGTCAAATATACTGAACAACATTAAAATGAGGTTATCGATTCTCTATTTCAGTTGAAATCGATAAACGAAAGCTGTTTTCAATTTGTAAAAATTCTTTTAGAGATTAAAAGGTTGCCTCCGTTTGCAATGAAGTTTTCACTCATTATAGAATTAACCTGAGCTCATGATAGCAGCTGTCATAGAAGCTAAACAAATTGTAGTATCGATGTGTAAATATTTTAAAAAGCTATGGCAAAAATATAACTGAACCGAAGAAAAAGCATATAGCAACGATTACTTTACCAGCCCGTTTAAACTTCTTCGAAAAGTATTAATGGCATTCCTTCTTCATCCTCACCTGCTAAACGTGGCTGAAAGTTACTGGCATTCGAAGACAGCAGCGCTGATGTAAAAAGACGGAAGACATCGGATTTAAGGAACAATTATCCAACGGCTGAGTTAGCATATGATACTCAAATGAAACTAAGAGAGGAGGGTAAACACGATTCCGCGACTATTGTGCAAGATATTACACAAAGGAGTCCATCAAGAGCAACGCAAGTGTCGTCATTGCAACGTTAAGTTTCTAAATCTCTTTTTCCGTTTACAAATAATGAAGCTCTTGTCAACGCAACGCAAACCTTTATCCTTGATACCACAAAGTGTTGGATGCAAAGAGAAGTTGTTACCCCGTAAAAGAATCCTTGTTGATCTCAGAAACTTAAACTGAAGTAAAACTTGGGGCTCTTTTGAGACACACAAGCCGTAGAATAATAGAGGCAAATATTAATACCCTGTACATACGGATTATATCATCTAGTTTTCACTGGAAATCCTCATTGCAAGACAGCCTATATAACATGATATGGGGTATAAGTCTTTATTACGACTTTCTTGCGCCTGTTCCGACAATAGGCCTATTGGAACTAGAAAGCTTTCCACAACTTTAGATCCGTGAATCAGAATGTTTTGAACAGTAACCGGCTTCACTCTGATGAACGCAAATACAACGAACGTTTTGTACCATAACGCTCGAATGACAGTTAAAAAATGGCAATCATGGGTTGCTTTGGCATGTCAAAAACAAACACACAAAACATGGTGAGTGGTAAGAATGCTGTTAATAAAACATTGGTCAGCTCTAATGGATACAACGGGATATAAATAACTACTAGATTAAATGATTGTATTTTCACTATAATGTCATCATATTGCCTCTTTGATGTTTGTGGATGCTTGAAATTTGGCTATTTTTGAGTTGATATTGCCTATAACATTTTCTGTTTTGCAGATCGAACCTTTTTATCTTCTGCAAAGTTGTGTATTTTATTGATTATTAAAAAGTTGCAGAACATTATAGTCATCTAAAATAAATGATTTTGGAAATATTTACAAAAAACGGATTTTTGAGGCCCTTCTACAAAAAAACGCTTCATAACTCAAAATCGCAAGCAGATAGAGACATGGCGTCTTGTACATAGTGTTTAGATATGAAGCAACCTACAACTTAGCTCAAGACATTATATCTCTATCTGGTCAAACTAAAAAGTTAGATTTTGCAGCACCACCTGTGGGGAAGTTTCGAACGAAAACTTAACTTCATTCAATGGGTCTTGTCATTTATAAAAACTCTTCTGAAGACACCCTATTGAAAAAAAAAACCACTGTAAAAGGTTCTAATGAAAAAAGTTCATGGATTTGGCCTTTTGCACCACTGTATGGGCCGATTGCATGTGTCGGTCTCAGGGCATCGAAATTTACACGAATTATTCGTAGAGTGCATTAAAAATAACTATGAGCAGACGTATTTATCATGATATGACTTTAACTGACTTTTGCAATCTGAAATTATCGGTTGAAGATTGCCTTTTAAAGTCAACTGACCTGCCTACAGAGGGTTTATGAGTTAACTCCAGAACTAGGGGTTTTATGATAGATCAAAGTAACTTCCGATAGCCTACAGAGGTATTATGACTCAGCGTAGGAGGACAAGTTGAAAAATTTGTTTTGGTCGTCGGGAAAAGTTATTTCCGGAGACCTTACGCAATAATGCATTTTATTTTTCACGTATTTTTTTTTAATCATTTGATTGGAAAAATCTGAAATCTGAATCTAACAATCCTCATACTTACGTTGAAACAATCCGAGCAGCTCCCGCAATCGTCGCATTCCACCGCCTGGCTGATGACTGCCGGACTGATTGCAGACCCGTTGATGCCATTTATCTGCGGAAAGAAATGGAGAAAACGAAAAGTGTCATCAAGAAACATGGCAATCGCCGGCAAACAGGCGATTGCGATGCTTGGAAAATCGGAAGATGATCAACTCTTTGGTACTTACACCGTACGCCGATCCGTTGCTATCACTAATGAGTACTTCTTTACTTTGATGGAAATTTAAACCTACGACACCGCTCTCCTGACTCACGTAGACTGGATTATCCTTAGCTTTGCCAAACGCCAGGGCGGACAGCGAAATGTTATTGCTGTTTTGGGGAAGAAGAAATCGTATGAGTATTGGATCTGCTAACTGTAATGGTCGTACCATTGAGACAAACCTTATATTTAGTTCAGCAGGGGCGGTATTCTGTTGTCCTTGCTTCCGGGACAGTTTCAGAAATACATCCTCCAGACTACTGCAACGGTATATTGATAGCAGGCAGGCTGGTGATTCTTCCGCTAGCAATCGTCCAGATCGCATCAGGCCGATCTGCGTTGAATGAGTCATGGATAGATTACCTCAAGAATTGTCCTATTTTGGGAGAATGGTTTAATCTTACCGTGTGCGCTTGTCGCGCTTCTTCTATGTAATGTGTGGTGATGATGACCGTCTTCTGACCGGCCTTGGTAATGTGCACTAGATGATTCCATATACTTTGCCTAAGTAATGGATCGACGCCGACAGTTGGTTCGTCGAGAATCAGCAGCTCCGGGTCGTGCATCAGAGCTACGGCAAACGATACTCGTCGCTGCTGGCCACCACTGAAACACATTAACCATCAACCATAGTGCCAAACTGTATTGTAAATTCCAAACTAACCTCAAATTCTTCACCAGTCGTGACTCGGACGGCAGGTCCAGGAAGTTGAGCAGGAAATGTAACCGATCTTTGATTTCTGATGTTTGCATACCGAAGATCCATCCGAAATACATCATCGTTTCTCGGATTGAAAATTCTCCGTATAAAGCTATCTCTTGTGGCATGTAACCTACGCGCTTACCCGGTACACCAGATCCTGCAGAATACAAACAAACAAAAAATCATTGTCCTATTCATCCTTTATCGCCTTCACTTCACAACAAACCTTTTGTTCCTGGCTTGCCTCCCAGCACCCATATTTCCCCTGAGTTGAGTCGCCTGCGTCCGACTATGCATGACAAGAGTGTCGTTTTACCGCAACCGGATGCTCCTAAAAGTCCATAACTGCAATAGAAATGAGATGAAGAATGAAGGATATAAAATGATGGATCTTTGTTAGCAAAACTATTGTGTGCGCACAAATTATTGCCTAGACAATCGATCGTTGATCAACTGGAATGCGATTGAGTTCAATCATCAGGATTCCTGTCACGTGCTCCGATTGTGTCTGTCCGAAAATGGGAGGTCGCAGTCAATGTAAGAAGCTTCTATCTGACTGATCAGAATGATTAATTTTAACGCGAGCTATCACCAATGGCGACGACAAAATGATTGCGCTTTGCAGTGCTCGGTAAATAAAATTAATAATGCCATTATAACGCTCTATAAACTTTGTAAACAGACTCATCAAATATGGCGTGTAATTATCCATTAAGTCCTTTGATAGCTATGAGATACGGCTATCGAGCGCTGCAATTCGAACTTAGCTTAACCATCCAATGAGAGTTTTAGGTATTGAATCGGCAAACACCCAAACTCGACTGTCAAAAGTATTTTCAAACAACCCACACCCATCTACCTAAATTGATAAAACAGCAGACATCTTGTACACGTTAAACTTTCAACAGTTTCCTGATTCGTGACCAAGGCGCTGTTATTAACGAGGTCACGCATACATAACGCTTACGACAGAATGTCGTGAGCATTACACATTTAATTGGTAACCGGTGAATATAAAATCTACCATCTTCTGATGCATTGTGTCCAGGCACATACTTCGTCACCGGCCGATGAACGCTGGCTGAAAAATTTCCCTGTCACTTCTTCCCCCCAAATCAGTCGGTTTGATGATGATGCCACATACCTGCACTACACACAGTCATGTCGTGGGATGCGTGGGAATAGAAGCACGATAAGTTAACCGAAGCGTGGAAAATTGCGCACCGCTGAATTGCCCACTTCCTAGTCAGTTTTTATTTGATTGTGTCGGTTTCTGCTTCTGGTTTTTATGGCAATTTAGTCGTCATTTCTGTCGCATTACTTCAATGTAGGTACAGCTTATTTCAGCAAACTGCATCGTACGTAGCTGCAAGACCACACACAGCGGAGTGCAGTCGTTTCCTCAGTAGGGTTTTTGATTCAATTTCCGGCCTACTACGCACAATCCCCGCTTTACCTCTCTTTTTCGCTTGATTCTAAATTCGTCCTACGAGTTTCAATTCCGTCTTAACGCATTAAAACGTCATTAGATTTTCTTTGTCTTACGGATAAACGTAGAAAAAGGGAATTCGCTAGAAGCGCTTCTTTTGTTTTAAAAACAATGAGCGTTAATATTGATACAATGCGCTCTAATAGGATTTATGTTGCAGCTAATGAACTAACGCATCGGAACAAACCTATTAGGGTCTGTTCATAAACTACGTAGACAGTTTTTTTTGGGATTCTTGACCCCCCCCCTCCCCCTGCGTAGACAATTGACCATACAAAAAATTTAAAATTTGTATGGGCTGTGGATAATTCTCAACCCCCCCCCCCCCTAAACTGTCTACGTAGTTTATGAACAGCCCCTTATTGATTTGTACTCCGTGAAATCATTGATATTATAGATCTTTTCTACCCTATACGAGCAACTTTTTCTTCAGGAAAATAAAATCCGGATGATGAAATACCAAACATAAGCTGTTGATTTCTGATTTGTGGAAAGTGTCATTATTATTATTATTATAACCCGATATATTATGAACATCATTTCAACACGCAAAACAAATGGCAAGAACATCAAATGTAAGTGAAAATTTCTTACATCACTCTGCATCAATTACCGTATGCGTGATAATGTTGCACCATCGTACAAATAAGGTTTCCGTTTCACCTGTGCATACAATGCCTTGGTTTTCTTTGCATGCACGTAACCTATAGCTCATACCGTAGTAGGCTGTGTATAAAAGTTTGACAGTTGCACCATGACGAAGTGGCAGCGTATTCGTGATTTGTCCCACGCGCAAATGTCGCAAAAAGACATTTCAATCGCCGTGGCAGTGTCCCGGTGGACCGTTTTAGACCGAGAAAAGAAAGGACAACTATCCGTGAAGGTGGCTACAGCTCGTCCGAGGTCAGCTCGGGTTCCGAGGGTTATCGCTGCTATCAAAAGGATGATTCGGGTGAATCCAGTGCGTTCAATAAGGAAAATGGCAAAGGAACACGGGATCAGTGACTGTACGGCACGGAAGATCGTAAAGGAAGATTGCTGGGTGAAGTCGAGGGCACGGAAAAAAACTCACATGATTACCAACCGCATCCGGGAGCTACGAGTCGAACGATGCAAGAAAATCTTGAACTTCCTTAAGCAAAAAAAATCCGGTAATCCTGTTCACCGACGAGAGCATGTTTACCGTTGATCCCGTATCAAATTCCAGAATCGACCGGTATATTAGTTCTCTTCCGGTAAAAGACGTGGCTGACGAGCACAATAACGTGTATCTGACCAAGCATCCTGCTAGCGTTTTGGTGTTTGGATTGGTGGCTTCCGATGGCAAAAATATGGACCCGGTGTTCATTCCAGAAGGCGACAAGGTCAACACGGAGGTCTACATCGGGATTTTAAGTAAGTATGTTATTCCGTGAATCAAAGAACAGTACGATCCGAAGCCAAATGTTGTATTTCAACAAGATGGGGCTCCATGCCACACCTCGAACCGCACTCAGAAGTGGTTGCAGGAACATCGTCCGTTCTAGGCGAAGGATATGTGGCCGCCATCCAGCCCCGATCTTAATCCGCTGGATTACTCAATATGGCGCGTCATGCAGGCCTGTTCTAAACGCCACCTGAGTACAGCAAGCCTCAGACAAACATTGACCCGTAACTGGAGAGAAATGGATCCAAACTACATTATTAGAACCTGCCGTGCATTCCGAAAGCGTGTGGAGTTGCAGCAAGTGGAAACTCGATCGATGATTAACATAGTCTAAGACTCTGAGAAACATCCCCCTTTTTTGAGATTTTTTTTTTAAATTTTGACATTGCTTAATGGTGCAAACATTATCACGCATACGGTATGTACACCATTGAAGCCAATGACGTTTATATAAGGTCTGGGCCAAAGGGCTTATTGGTGTTAGTGAAATGTGCAAATGGTTAGTGGTGTTCGTATTATATTGCAATGTTTATCTTTTTACACGAAACAGCTGTTGGCAGTGACGTATATCTATCTGTTCTCAGTATGTTGGCAGTGACGTATATCTATCTGTTCGCAGATGTTCAGCAATGTTTACAACATTTTTGCTTCTTACACCAGCAAGCTGTCTGTTGGCCCAGACCTTATATAAATGTCATTGCATTGAAGCAACTTGATAGCTAGTTTGATAAATGGTAAAATTCGGCCATCCTGAGTTCATAGCCAGGAATGTTGATGTCGTTGAGAGCCATAAGATTCGTTGCTCAAGTTCGGCATTCAGTGACTTTGCTGTAAAGGGAGCTTTCGCGTTGTTCCCCTTTGTTTCAATGATTCCAACCCCAGCAGTTGGAATTTATCTTTGAAGGATGGCAGATTCACTGAATCATTCCACGGTAAGTTGCGGAGAGCATATCTCACAAATTTACGCTGAATGGCGTCTAAACGATCAATTACGTTAACATGAAACAGGTCGCGGCGGAGGCGGCGGGTTCGATTCCCGGTCCGGTCGAGGGAATCTTTCGGGTTGGAAATTTTCTCGACTTCCCTGGGCATTAGAGTATCATTGTGTTTGCCACACAATATACAAATCCATGCTTTGGTATTGGCATCGAAAGCTCTCAATTAATAACTGTGGAAGTGCATTTAGAACACTAAGTTGAGAGCACGCAATAAGCTAATATGCACTAAGCAATAAGCTTGAAATGCGAATAAGAAGAAGAAGATGAAACAGGTTTCAGATAACTGAACCTTTCTCAAGAATAGGACGTACAAAACTAACATACAGCTTTTCAAAGCGTAAGGATCTTTTTACTCCTTCTTTACCTTGCAAATCGAGCTGCTGACGTGGCTTTTCAATTACATGTTTAAAGTGGATTCTAAGCGTGAGACTAGAAATCAAAATAATTCTAACACTTTATTAATTTCCAATAGGTCACTATTGAAAAATACACAAATGTCCAACTGTTGCAATGGTGATCAAAATGATCACCGATTGCCTGCAAACAGCGCATTCCCTAACAAAGATTTAAAAATCGAATTCGATCCTCTCTCATTGAACGGTGCTCATTCAATCACCGTGTGTGGTGATGTCCGGTCGTTGGTGTCCGCAGCAGCAACATCAACAGCGGCAGTGCTTTCAGTGTGTGGCGTTGAACATTGTTCTCCAGTACACAACAAAAGGTAGCCTGCAAGAAGCGAGCTGCAGAGCCCACATGAGCATCCATAGAAGGAGGAAGAAGCCGCACCACTCGAAATCAGTTTCCTCGTGAGTAGCTGTGGGTCATCAATGCCTAGCGCGTCAACCTTGCTCCAAACAATATACATCTCGCAAGCCTCATCCGTCAGTGTTCACTCGGCTGTCGACAAAAGCAGACCACTCTCGATGTGTGCTACGCGATTGGCTGTTTTCTCGGCAGCAACCATTGTGTGGTCCTCCTCATTGTTCTTCATCAGCAGTTCTTTCGGTCGATGCGTCGTCGACTTTGGAAAGCAACCGTTTCGTGATGAGTGTGTGAGTGCTGACCACGTTTTGCGTCCATTGCTGCAATGGACGCGCTCTGACCCTCGTTGGCGTACAACAATTTGCCATACAATGAAACTACTGGAAGCGGCTCCAGTTCTGATGGAGGAGGCTTTTTGGATAGCGGAAGATAAAGTGTTTATTGTGTTGTACCTTTTGACTATATTTTTAAGATGTATTGTATAGTGACCAAGAATCCTCGGCTCTGTAAAGTTAATTCGGTTGAGCCTTACCAAATAAATTAATAAACAAAAAAAAAGCCTCATCCGTGTTGAACACCTTAATAGCTCAGCATTACTCAACCATCACGACAAAATGGTTCTTTTTCAGGACCACCATAAATTTTTAAAGTGTATGTTTTGGACATTTGT